CCCCCCCCTTTCCTCTTGGGCTTTTGAGAAGGAGTGGGCTGTGGGAGGCGAGTTGCTTATGTGGGAGTTACTATCATCTCTGCCATCTCTGGCACATGTCACTGGGATGGTTCAGGCTGTGTTTTAGGGAGTCCCTGATCCCCCAGGAAAGGCTGGGAGGCTGCTGGAGACCCATGAGACAGGAGGTGCTTGGGCTGACCGCGGCGGCGGCAGAGGCTCCGGCAGAAAAGCCATCGGGCGAGCAGCAGCAGCAGCAGCATCTTGGGTAGAAACACATTTTGGTTATAAACAAGGGGTTTAAAATAGCAGGAGGAATAGTCATTGGCTGCTTGGCGTGCCCACGCGTCGCCGTGCTGCCAGCCCGGGCTCACGGTTGCACACAGCAGAGCTTCGGTCCCCCACGGGCTGAGGGGCAGCAAAAGTTCTCCTTTATGGCCAAAAAAAAAAATAATCAAAAGGCAGGCGGGTGGCTGGAGTCACCCCAGGATGTTTGAAAAGCCAAAATACATTCAAAAACAGGAGGCATCCTTCGTTCCTGGGCAGGGGCCAGGGAGCATCATGGTGCTGCTCTTGGTTTCTGCTTGCAGCGTGTGTATGGCTTTCCCAGGAACGAAACAATTCTAGCTATAAATAATGGGTTAATGCTTTCATTCATTTGGGCTTTAAATGTATATTACATCTATGCTTTTGTCCCACATTTCGCCCAGTTTCTGTAAGTAGCAGCAGCAGCAGCTCTGGGGTTTGGTGCACAGCAATCTGTTAAGGAGATAAATAATCTGCTTTGGCATGACACTCCTACTCTCCTCTTTAATTTGTCTTACACAAGGAAAATTATAATTAAATCATTCAGGGTAAACCCTTGAGTGTAGAGAAGGAAAAAACACACTTTGGTAAAGATTGCCAATAGAGACCAACTTCCCTGTTGTGCCGTGCAGAGACATTTATCAATATTCAGCACTATTAAAGAGAGAACATTTCGTGTGATTTGTGAGGCGGATGCCAAAGCTCAAATCAAGGCTTGTTAAGATCCTTTCCCCATGCAATCATGGGCATTCAGCATCATTAGAATTCAGCACTGACTGTGTGTTTCATGCTTTGATTTTACTCAGACAATTTAATAATGTTTATTGTGCTGATTATATATATAAATTCACTCAATGCAATAAACATACCTCAGTCATCAGTACCCTAAGGGAAATGTTTAGTTATAGATACTTGTATTCACTCAGGATAAGCGAAAGTGAGACCATCAGCCAGCATGCAAACCTCTCATCATCTTATCAGCATTTGGGCTTCTCCAAGAACAAGCATTTTCTCTACACAAGTAAATAAATAAATAACGGGAGCCAGTTAAATACATCTGCTGCGCTTAGAAATGTCAAGGGCAGTACCCGCTTTCCATCTCCTTCCACCCCATCTCATTTGGGGGAAGCTTGATTGTTTTCTTAGAGAAAAACAGCAAAACAAAGCCAGTGGGTGCCCGGTGGCTTTAGGTGACTACTAACTTCCTAAGTTGATGAGCAGCAGGCATCCCATGCTTGGGAATATTTCCGATGTGGGTGAGGTCTGGGGAAGCAGAAGGGTGCAGAACTCCTCAGCCCTTTGTGCTGAGCAGAGGTTGCTCCAACTTGGGCTTGAACCAGGAGGTCTGGGGGTGCTGTGGGGTTCTGGGGGTGCCCATGTACTGGTCCCGGCCCCTGGCACCGTTTTGCATTGACTGCAGCAGTGATGGGGTGATGGAGGCTGTCATTAACAAGTGAGGTAATGAAGGTACAGACGTGGTAGTTTGGGAAACATGTCTTTTTGCAAGGGTGAAAAGTTGGAGATAAAGGCTGCAAGTCCAAAAGACCTTTCTCCATCTGCCAGCAACCTCATGTTTGTCCCTTATTCTCTTCGTACCCCTTCCAACTACGCTCGAGTCTTCTCCTTCCACATAAGCAAGAAGCCATCTCGTAGGAAAAATAGATGGGATAAACAAGGGGATTTTTAAATGACTTTTTCTTGCCAGCATCGCGGGAGGAAGGAGCCTGGAGAAGGCTGTGAAGGGAAGTGAGAGGAACGGCGTGGCAGAGCATTGATCTGCTGGTCGGGCTTAATGCGTGTGTTTCGCTGTTGTTGTCCTCCGTGCCAGCTGATCCTCCATCCGA